TAAAATCCAATACTATAAAATAGAAAAATTCAAGGATATTGTAAATTATAAATTATGAAACAGACCTCAAATAATAACGTTAATATTAATATTGAATTTCCAACATACACAGGTAATGGCGATGTTTTTCTAAGTCGTTTCGAAGACATATTCAACGATGCTCAGATCTCTGATATCGAAAAAGCAGGATCCTTCACAAGAAGACTACCAGACGAAGAATACATCAAGCTCAAATCGATATGTTCACCTACCGATTTCATCAATCCATCGATATTGATTGAAAAATTTAGGTTATTACACCCGAGGAAATCTACAAGTTCGAAATTGTTATTATTCAATGCAGCTGTACAAGGTAAAAATGAAAGATACATCAATTGGGTAAGTAGATTATGTATTTTACAAAATGAATGTTCGTTAAGCGATAGTAGAGTCATTGAAAAAGTAAAAATTTCATCAAATAGCAGAAGTATCAGGCAGAAAATTACGTTGAAAGAGAATATTACGTTAGCAGAAGTCTTTAGTTTAAGAGATGATTTTGAGGAGACAGAATTAAAAGAAAATATAATAGCTAAAGTTGAAAACATTTCTTTAAGTGAAAAGACTGAAGAAGAAACAAGCGTAAAACATTTGGAAAGACAAAGAGGCATAAAAGTTGAAGAAAACAAACAGGTGGTCAGATACGACGATAGACATAATCCACGATCGAATAACGATAACAGACAACGATGGACAGCAAGAGGCCATGACTTTCAAAGAAATATTTACCAAGGAAATAGTTATAACCCCAGTTACCAAGGAAATAATTACAACCCTAGATATCAGAATTATAACGCGAATTATTACAACGTCAGAGCAAACTATCCAGGATCGTACAATAATTCTTTGAGATTTGATAATAGAGCTATTTATAATAAAAATGACTATAATAATAATAGATTTAATAATGATTATAATTACAGATATAACAGACATTATAACGATTCAAGATGTATTCAAAGATATAACGATAATCATAATATTGGAAATCGAGGAACTAATCAAGTATGCAATTGTAAATATCATAACAACGACAATAATCAATCACGATATACAAATAAAGTAAACACTGTAAATTTAGAAGAGATAAAAGAAGATGATTATGACAAACTAGAAAGAAAAGAATATAATTTATACAATTTAGACAATTTAGACATAAACAATATGGATACCGATAATAATTACACAGCTAACGATGCTTATAAGGTCACGGTATATTTGAACGACATGCCTATTTTGATGCAGATCGACACCGGGTCAAAGTATAGTATTCTACCGATTCATATCGCGAAAAAGATTGGAGTAAAAATCTTAAATAAATCAGATATTAAATTAACTGGTTATGATGGAAACACAATAAATGTTTTAGGAACTACCAAAGTCAAGGCAAAATTCGAAGACAAAAGTCAAATCTTAACTGCTTATGTAGTCCAGAGTGATAAGATTGCACTGTTAGGAAGGACCTGGATAGCAGTCTTTAGAAATATACTAGATAGATTTGTAAACTTAGTCGAAGAAGATTATGACAATACTATTCAAGAACTGATCAAACAATGCGAGTCAAAACTTAGCAAGAAACCAATACTACGCAACTATGTCAAACTACATCTAAAACAAGGTGCTACACCGAAAATCATACCTCCCAGGCGTGTACCTTATTCAAGAATTGACTTGGTTACAAAAGAACTACAGAAGTGGATAAGCGACAAAATAATCGAACCTGTTGAAGAGGTAAGATGGGCCAGTCCTCTCACTCCTGTTGTCAAGAGCGATGGTTCAATTCGGCTATGTGTTGACTTCAAGAATACTATTAATCCTGCGTTAGAGGATTTCAAGTACCCAATTCCACGCATCAATGACCTTATGGCAAAGTTATCGAAAGGCAAGAAATTTACAAAGATCGACTTTAAAAATGCATTTCTTCAAGTTCCAATACACAAAGAATCAAGAGATTTTCTCACTATTTCAACTCATAAAGGCTATTTCAGGTTTACAAGACTTCCGTTTGGATTAAAAACTTCGTCAGCAATATTCCAACAAACTATGGATAATATTTTCGGGAACATGAAAGACGTCGTGTTTTATATTGATGACTTATTGATTACTGGGGAGGATGATGAAGCTCACGTGAACAACATAAAAATGGTATTTGACAAAATATCAAAGTATGGGCTTACACCAAACTTCACAAAGAGTATATTTTTTTAAAAAAAACTACGGTTTCTAGGTCACGATATAGACGACAATGGAATCCATCCGAACGCAGATAAAATAAAGGCTATTTCAAATATGCCGGAACCTAAGACAAAAGAAGAGTTGGCAACTTTTTTGGGGATGGCGAGCTATTATCGAAAATTTCTGTGCAATTTTGCTGACATCGCCGATCCCTTAAACAAAATAGTAAATAAAGACAAGTGGTCATGGGATAGTACACATCAAGAAAGCTTTGATTACCTAAAAAAACTCATAAGCACTCCGCCTACGTTAAATTTTTATAACCCGGATCTACCAGTGGGCATTACAACTGATGCTTCAAAGAAAGGTTTAGGCGCAGTCTTATTTCATATTGAGGGTGATGGCAAAGAAAAACCCATCGCTTTCGCGTCAAGAGCACTATTGAAATCAGAGTTAAATTATACCAATATCGAAAGAGAAGCTTTGTCGGTAATTTACGCGGTTAAAAAATTACAGGAGTATTTAATAGGCACAAGATTTGTAATAATTACCGACCACAAGCCACTCGTGTATATATTTACGAAGGAACTCAAGGACAATTCTTCCATATCAATGCGACTCCAAAAATGGAACTTGGCTATGGGAGCGCATGACTTTACGATAGTTCATAGACCCGGGAAACGAAATATTGTACCAGACTGTTTGTCCAGATTACCACTAATGAATATAGAAGAGATGGTACAAAAGTTAGATGACGAAATAATTGATGACAATTTTTGGGACACACCAATAAATTTTAAAAGAATAGTTAAAGAAACTAATATTGATCAAGAACTAATGGAAGTAATCAACGATATAAGGAATCATGAGCAGATAAAGAACAAAACGTATAAAAATATGGTATTGGAATTGAGTTTAATCAAAGGTTGCCTTTTTAAAGAGAATAGGATCATAATACCGAAAGGTATGAGAAAAGAGATTTTGCAAGAGTTGCATAATGGGCATCTCGGTGCTGGAAAAACAAAATCTTTAGCGAGAGAGTATCTGTGGTGGCCTGGTTTAAATGCAGAAATAGATCAGGAGGTAAAGAATTGCGATGCTTGCAATAAATACGCAGACAATCCTCATAATATTCAAAACCCATGGGAAACAGCAACGAAAGTATTCGAGCGCGTACACATAGACTTTGCAGAGTTCAAAGATAATAATTTTATGGTATGTGTTGACGCCTTCAGCAAATTTCCTATTATTAGGAGAATGAGAAACACAACTACGGAATCAACGATTAAAGAATTGATGAAAATAATAAGTTTATTTGGTATACCTAATAGAATAGTCAGTGATAATGGAACTAACTTTACCAGTAAATTATTTAAGAAATTTTGCGAAGATCACGAAATCGAACACTTACTCACCGCACCTCACCACCAACAGTCCAATGGCCAATGTGAGCGTATGATTAGATCAATGAAAAATGAATATGAAAAGGAATATGGAAAATAATAATAAAATAGACGTAGACATAGCTCTAGAAAAGTTTCTTTTTAATTATCGTAATACACCCAACGCAACGACCAACAAAATACCAAGCGAAGTAATGTTCTCCAGAATGATTAGGACAAAATGGGAGTTGATAAAACCGAGGGATGAAAGAGATCATATACTAAATCGTAAGATATCAATAGATAGGGATATAGAAATAGGAGACAGCATATGGTATAAAACTTTTAAAGATAATAATTGGGAAAAAGGTACAATAATGCGCAAAAACGGAAATTTGTTGTATGATATAGATACTGGGAACAAAATTATAAAAAGACACTTGGACCAAATAAAAAAAAGATCAACTAATGTAGAACTTTCTTCTAATGGTGCAACAGTTTTTAAAGCGAATGTTAATAATAATGCATCACCTTATACATTGAATTTTAGAAGGGTAGGTGATGAACCAAGAAACCAAAATGTATAAGTGAATGATCAGAATCGCAACGTTCAAAGACTAGTTAGAAATAGTGTGTTGCCTAGAAAATTTGAAAATTTTATAATGAATTAAATTTGATAATAAATTTTTTTTTTCCTCTTCCTTATATTAAAACAAAATTAGTTTTTTTGTGTGTGGAACTAAATAGATAAAACGTACAACAAAAAAAGATCAACGAAGGGGTTAACGAGCAAGAATGGCAAACGACAAAATTATAGACAGAGGGCAAATAAAAAAAAAAGTGTGAAATGTTAAACAGTGACACTCATGTATTTTATCTTAACTTTAAAAAATTGTTTTTTTTTACATCCTTAAGCTATTTATGGCGTAACTTAATATATTTCAAATGTAATAAGAATTGTTTCTTTCTTTTTGTTAAAAACAACTTTTATATTTTAAAAATCAATTTGTTTATAAACTAATATTAAATTTTATATTTTATAAATCAATTTACTTAATAAACTAATGTTCAATTTTTTATTTTAACTTTAAAAAAAAGATCAATTTATTATAAACTACATTAAATTAAATTGTCAATATATATAGGAAACTATTTTGAATTATGTGATGATTATATTTTTAAATTTAAATATCAATAAATTGACGTAATATACGTTTATAACATTTGATTTCTGCCTTTGATTTCTGCAACCTTTTCAAGGATAAATTTGATTTACATAATAAAAACTTTTTATTTATATTTTTAAAATAAATTTGATAGGCTATAAAATAAAAATAAATTTTACGTGTCTATTCTTAGTTTACCTCTCCATTCTCAGTCTACCTGTCAATTCTCAGTTTAGTTACACCGATAATTACTTAAGCTTCATCATATGTTTGAAAAAATTGTGACTTTAATATTTAATAAATTTTTATCAAAGTATATTCATAACCTTGAAAAAAAGAACCTAAAAATTGGAATATTAGAGAGTAATGATATATACTTATGAATATGCTCTCTATATTATATATATAAAATAAATAAAGATTGCAGTAGCATTAGGGGAGGGTGGTATTCAGGTACTTGAGCCCCCTGAAAAATTTGAATAGCCACTCAAACTGATTTTTTTTTTTACCAAATGTAAGAAGGTTAGATAAAAAAAATAATTTTGAAATTTTTTTTTTGAGTCAGTTGAGATTGTAAAGGCTGGTATTGCCCCTGAAAGATCTCATATATTTTGTAGATTAAATAATTTATTAATAATCATTTTATGTACTCTTATAAATTCATTGTTTTTTTTATTAACCAATCCTTATTTAAAAAAAACAATTATAATTTTTAATTTAAAACTTTTTTATAAGATAAATAGTGTTATAAAGTATAGATCTGCAATGGGTGGGGTTTATATTTTACCCCCCCCCCCCCCCCCCCCCCATATCCATTTGCTTGCCTATGATTTTAAGATTTTAAAAATATATAATAATCTGCCCACCAATTATTTTAATATTTATTTAATCATCTCACCCAATGTTTAAAAGTGATATGATTAGTTGGTTTCGCTTTTTATTTATTTATTTTCTGTTCAATTTTCATAAAAAATATTTCAAATTTACCCACCTGCCTACTATTATTTTTAAACTTGCCAATCCATTCCAACCCATAATATGAGTAAAGTAAGAAATTTACAGTTTTTTCATAAATAAAATGTTTTCTGAATTTGCACAAAAATTACAATTTGACCAGTTAATTTGGGGTAAAATAATATTTATTGTTAATCAATTATTTATCATTTTTCAGCCTTATTTTCCAGGATGTGGAAATAAAAATCAATTTATTTAAATATCACTTGATATTTTACTAAAAATAGCTTTTAATATAAATAAACTTATTTTATTATTTGAAAATTATTTAGTAGTTTTTGCTGAATTGAAAAGTTATAATTTTTTCAACAATTTATTTGATCCCATATTTGTAACACACACACAATATTCAAATATATAATTAGTATTTTTTAAATGTAAATTTTAACAATAACAAATTAATTGTATAAAATTTTATCATTAAAATATTTAAAATGAGAAATTAAATTTCCAGCTTTTCCTTGTAAAAGCCTGTTGCTAAACCTGGATTGGACTAGGCCAAATGAAAAACATTCTTTCAATAGAAGCTGAAGAAGTTGCTACATAGTTGTTTGAAGATTAGGATATCACTTAACATTTCTAATTTGGTTTGTTTAAGTATTAATACCAGGTGTGCTAGTCATTGTTCAATATATTCTGAATATATTTGATAATTTTTTTAACATTTTTGATAAATTAATTTATCAATATTTTTTCAGATTTTCCCACAAATTTTTATATATTGACATATATGCATGGATGCTATCTGTCAATGTGTTTTATAAATTTTACAAATAATTTATACTAATAATATTTTTCATTCTCAAAATATTTTAAACCAAGCCTGTATCCAATTAAAATTATTTTTTTTTAAAATTTGTAAATTTAAATTCCCTATATTTGTATAATGTTTAAAATTTCCTCGTGTATTTAAATAAAATTTTGAAGGTATTCCTCTTTAATATGAATAAATATATCAAATTTATAAGACTGTCTAAATATTTTACTCATAAATCCTTATGACTTTCGTCATATAAAATTTAATCTTTTAAAAAAAATTTGTTTTAAATCCAAAATAAATCCGATTTTTTGACTTTAATAAATAATTAATAATTGAAATACACCTTGTTATTTTCGCCCTTTTTACTAATAAAATGACATTTAGTTACTAATCAATAAAACAATGAATAGGCAGTGGGGGGGGGGTAAGTGTTTTTACCACAGATTGAAATTTTTAAAAAAAATTAAATAAAATATTCAATTAAATTACTCAACTCTTTACCTTATCTCATGTTGCATCTCCATTCGATTTAAACTTCATAAATATATTGTTAACTAATTTGAGACATAGCTAGCTTTCGATATTGAAAATGACTTCGTTTCATTTTCTAATACGTCATGATAATGAAAAATTTATTATTGAAATGTTATAAAAGGTCAAAGACCAGACTGAAGCCAAAAGACCGACCAGACAGAATATGTATATAAAAATGAAAACTGGATCGAAAAGAAAACCGATATGATCAAATAAAAAACTCGACCTACCTGATTTATTTAAAATCTTGCAAAACCTTCATTTAAACCTGGGTCAAAAAAAACAACTAAAAATAGGAATTGCTTAATAGTTTCTCTTGATTATAGTCGTTTTGTTTTTATTACTTGGGTTCTTTTTTTATTTCTTTTTTCTTTTAAAAATACATTTATGTTTTGTTTTATCTTTTTTCCCCGTACAATTGTTTCTTTATTTGAGTAAATATAACTAATATATAGAATATACCGATATTAATTTTTGGAGGTCGATCCGATCCGATATTCCCAATATTAAATTAATATCCCAATTACCGATCCGATATCATATCTAATTTTGTATTCTGTAAAGATAAATGGTTTTAATTAAATATATTATAATGATCAGTTATAGTTTATATTCAATTCAATTGCAATTCTAAAAGTATATAAAATATTTTTTTATTGTTAAATCACTTTTATATAATAATTAATACATTAATCTATATACATAATAAGTAATAAACAAATATATATGGAATTTGAAATAAATATTTAACATTAATATATCAAAGATTTCTTTTTAGAAATACCAAATTTCCAATTTACCAGAGGTCAGCCTGCGGCGATGGTATCTGTCAATAGCACCAGCTTCACTAAAAACAGATTCTGAAGAGATTATCGCACACTTTTATAAACAGAATGTGCAAAAAAAATAACAATATGGCAGAATGTTTATTAATTAATTATTATTATTTAAAAAATTTACATAAAAATGGATTTCGATTTTATTTATAAAAAAAATTATTTTAGATATAACCTTTTAAAAAAATTTTATAACATTTTATTTTTGTTAAAGATGCCATTTTATATCGGATCGGGAAATTTTATAATATCGGCCCGATCCGATCCCATAAAAAATATCGGTATATCCTTAAGTAATATAATATATTCTAAACAAAGAAAGGAATATTTAGTGATCTGCACCGGTAATATTTTAATTCTTCATTGAACTTAAGTGATTTTTAAACCTTATATTGACGCGTTTAGTGCAAAAATTAAAAAGTGTTTTTTTCTTAAAGTGTACCTTTGCCTTATTTTTTCCATTTTTCCACAGCCCTACCACCATTCTCTTAAAAAAACGCGCTACCGCTATCGCTATTTTTTTGAAAGTAGTGAGCTATTAGCTATCAAGGAACTCGCTTAACTCTGTGCTCCACTTAATCCTTAATCTATATTTTTAAAAGTGGGCAACTCTAATTACCAACTAAAGATTCAATAATTAATTACTTACATATTCATATTCGCGATGTTAAGATAATTACGATAATTGAGATACTTATCTTTTAATATAAAAAAATATCAAAGCTCATGTCAAGTTGCGCAATCTTGAAATCAAATCCGATGCTCTGGTGAGGCGAAAATTATTATCATTATATTTTAAAATATACTAAGTCAGTTATAATAATTATATTATCATTTAATATTTGCTTAAACAATTCAACCAGACCCTGAGCGAACCGAACACTTAAACGGGAACTAACCGATATAATTATTGCCTAAATCAATCAACCTAAATGTTAAATATCGTCCCTCTTATATTGGAGTTCTCCAATTGACATCTTTGAAAAATTGAGATAGCCTTATAAATGAATAGATATTATGTTTATCTAATAGATACTTTAAAATTTAATGGAAATTTTCAGGTCATGTTCTTGTTCGACTTATTTTTGAAACTTTATGTTTAGCCAGATTTTTAACTAGGATAACCCTATTTTGATTAGTTTTAAGCTTTTATTAAATAAATATAATTTGTTATTTATATATTTTTATCGGCACAAATAAATAATCTTTTACGTAAATCTAAATAACCTCTTTCTGGCTGTTCAAATAAAGCCGGCTAAACAGATAACTGTTTAGAGATAACGAACAAGAACACTGCAGTTCTTCAGAGTTATATCTATTTTTATTTTCGTTATTTTACATAAATTTAAAATGTTGAGGAGACCAGGAATGGTAGGGATACTTATTCAAACCTGAATAAATTCAATAATATTAAACTATTAGAATAAATAAAACATCTTCTGAATCCTAAAATTAGAGGCTATTTGAAATTATATATATTTTTTTCAGAAAGAATTATAAATTTTTTTTTGGCCTTACCTTGCCATAATCTGGTTACGTTGGATCTTTGATAGTTGCTCGACATATAAAATAGAGGTCCAGATAAAAAATTGAAGTTTTTATTGATATATAATATTAGAGGCTTTAAGTTTATTAATTTATTGATAATATCATAATACGCAATAATTTAGTAGATTAAATTAATTTAGAAATTTAAAAAAAAATTAAAATCAATATTATTTAAACTATATTATATTAAAATATTATTTTTGATTGATAAATATACGGTTCCCGTTCTAAATCGCCAATAATTTCTAAAACTTGGAAATTTCGCTTATATCTCCTAGGAAATTTTTAAAGTATACTTGAAATTAATATATGTTAGGGAAGTAAACAATTATATTTAGGTTGAGTTTTTTCTTTAAAAATTTCCTAGGAGATATAAGCGAGGTTCCCAATTTTTAGCGATTTTTGTTTTAGAGATTTAGAACTATTCCATATTATTACGACGAATATGTAATCCATAATCTTGTATAATATGTTATTAACAGAAACTTAAAAGATCAATCCGCGGTTCCTTAACACTAATAGTAACTTTGTCTAGACAATTATAGTGATTTTTGTTTTTAATATATTTATGGTGAATTCCTTATCAAATTAACCATGATTTCGACCCGACCCTCTCAGAATTTTTTTAAATTTTGTATATTGGTAGTATATACTATAACTAAGAAAAAAAATGAAATTTTACTTCCCAACCCTGCTTTTCTGCTAAGATATTATGGACGTTTAAAGTGCAGAAAAGTGAAAAATGGTAAATTTTTGACAAAATGCACCTCATTTATTTTCAAATATCTCGAGAAATAATTATGTTAGAGCAATAATTTAAATTTTATTATATAGCTTAATAATAGTACTTTAATATGACATATAAATAAATATCGAAAATTGGCTGTATAAAACCGGAAATAGTCATAGAAAAAAAGGTTTTTTTTAGCAGGGTTGGCAAGTTGGTCAATTGACTGACCTGGTCAAATGCGGTCAAATACTCTAAAATATTATTGGTGGGTTACAATTTATATAAAAATATATTTGTATCATCATGGCATCGATTTAATTATGATTGTATATTAAAATATAAGATTTTCATTTTAAAATATTAGAATTTCAAATATAAAATTAAATTATTTTTTCTCATTATTATTTGATTGGATCTTAATATATAATTAAATGTAATAATTTTGCTAAAGCATGGTTTGAGAAAATTACTAATGGCCAATTTATATTACAGTATGAACAATTATCTAAACAATGGGCATCGTCAGTAAAATGTAAGGAGCAAATAAAAATATGCAAGAAAACTCTGAAAACAGCTGTTGAAGAAGTTGGATATTTCCCCGAAAGAAATTATCAATAATATATTAAATGAAGAAATATTTGGACGAAAAATTTAAAATTTAACATTTAGCTATCTTATTGTTGTAAGTGGATAAATGTACTTTAGTTCTTTAAAATGGAAAACACATAATTCAATCATACAATGATTTTATAATTTCTCCACTGAAGAAAAAAAATTGAAGATAGGTTTGAAAAGAAAAAACAATCTAAATATATGTGCACACACTGTTGATTATTTATTAGACCCTCAATATAAGTGTGCATCTTACTGGTAGTGAGTTTGATGAAGCATGTGATATGATACAAGAATTATAATCAAAATATTTTAAGTAATATCATAAATTTCACAAAATATATGGAAAGCAGTAACATTCATAAAATACAATCAGATTTCAGTCTCAAGTTAGTAGAATGCTTTGCTTACCTTGAACAAGAGAAGTGTCTAATATCTTACTAACAATTCCTAGCTATACTTCTTTTTTAGAAAGAAATTGGTCGGTTTGGGGTAATATTCGAAGAAAAGAAATCGACTATAATTGAAGATCACGACAATAGGAAAATTGGTAAAAGTTATCATAACCTTAGATTGATTAAAAATATTAAAGAAAATGATAAAAATGAATATAAATCAGAACAAGACTCTGTCACCGAAAGCGAAATATTAATTATAGAATTTAAAAATATAATTTAATATTACATTGATTCATTTTTTACTATTATAAATAAAATAAAGTTAATAATATCTTAATAAACATTTATTTGCATTTGATCATATTTGACCGGTCAAATATCGGTAAATTAACCGAATCATATTTGACCGGTCAAATGCAAACCCTGGTATAGAGTGCTCACACAGTGAATTTCAGGAAAAATTGGCAGTGAACTTTTGAAGCTATTAATTTTTATTAACTATTTTTAAAAAAATACACAAAAGTTCATGGCAAAATTTTCTGAAGTTTACTGTGTGGGTACCCACATTGGAAAACATTTCCGGGAAAAAAAATAAAATGCCTCATAGTAAATGATTTAAAACTGAGATATTTCGAATCCTCATGGCAATATCCTATTACGACATATACGTATATATACAATACTTTGAATAATTTAGATATTGCTATCAATCAAACCTTAAATTCCCATAAGCAATGAAGTTATGTTTGGCGAAATAATATAATATGAAACATATACCATACGTTTATAGCGATTATGATGTATGAATTAGAGGTCGAAGCAGCCATGTCTACGGACCGGACCAAAGTTTTGGAAATATTTTAGAGCTGATAATCAGACAAATTAATGCCAATTTTCTTCCATAAAAAGTTATGAGGGGTCGGGTCGGACAACTTGTACATAATATATTTTACAGGCCAGGCAAAAATGATTACGGGTTGAGTCGAAAATCACGATATAGAAACATTTAACGGCTAGTATCAATAATTTTTATATTTTTTAAACTTTTTACCTATATCATATCTTACAATTTCTTCTTCATAATTTTATTTAAACTCTTTACGAACCAATACTATATAATTATTGAAAAAAAACAAAGAGCGTATCTATTTTTCAATCATTATATTATTCCTTAATTTAATGGTAAATAATCTTGTATTGATGTAAATTGGTTTTTAAATATTGATATAAATCCCCGGGTTTTTAAAAAAAATGATTTGATTATTTATTATTAACCGAATTGATGCATTAGATTCACAAAACCGAGTTTCAGAATTTTAAATATTTTCGATTTTTAAAAGAAAAAAAGAAATGTATTGTTAATGTCGACTAATAGTCATAGTCCAGGAAATCGATTACTGATTCTAAAATATATTCTATAGTTGTACATACTGATTGATTTTATTAAATAAACTTCTTTTTTGTATATTTTAGTATGACCTTGGCATTCCGATTACTATAAAAACAGGATATATAGGTATTTTATTACAAAAATAAATTGATATTTATATATATCTTTTATACCTTATCAAATTTTTTTTAACGCATAATAAGTTAACCAATTAAATTAAAAGTTAAAACTACTTTATATAATGTTTTATCGTTATATTTTATTTTTTATAATAACAATTACCATATCGCACGCTATTAAATTTTTGTAATCTTTATATTATATTTATGTATCTATCATATACAGAAAAGAAAGAAAGGAAAAAAGAAAGGAATTAGGATTAAAGGGAAAATATATTAAATTATGTTTAACAAATAATAAAACGGAGTTTGTTTTAGCGTGCCAATTTAAATTAACGATTAATTTATTTAGATATTTTATTTTTTCTAACTAAATTGTATAAATAATTGGTGAATTATTCTCAATTTGTTTGGCTAAATTATAATAATAGAATTTTGGATGCTTGACCAATAAAATTTTTTTTACAATGGTCATATTTTTCTAATTCAGGGTCGATTGTGTTAGATTTAAAATGGAGTCGTAACCAATTATTGGTAATTTGTATCGATGATATATTTCTGCAGTTGGAGCCTCTTTACCAAGGCCCTTTTAACCTAGAGAAGGAGAACAAATTTTTGAAAGCCTTCAAATTGAAATGTCTAGCAAACGTGGATCGATATTTTGTGACCGAAGAGTGTTAGTAAATTAACGATTAACTTTGTATATTTAATTTTTTTGAAATTAGTTATAACTCACCCACCCTGTATAGTTTAAGTATAGTCGATAGGCTTATTCCACACCATAACCTACTAAATGGTTGAATTTTATTTTCCCAGCCTTTTAATTAATATTGTTAATTTATAAAATGTCGATGACTATTTATCTAAAGGTGTTAGAGATTAGTAAGTCATAAAATTTAAATTGCGGTAGGGGAACAATATACTCTACTCTCAAAAGGATAGTTATTACGAGGGGCAAAATTTTTACTTCATAATTATATAAATTAAATCGATTTATGAGAAAATAATAAGAATCGGAATGGTAATTCAGTTAAACCATTTTGCTTAGGGCGAATCTTTTCAACCATTTTTTTAAAAATATAATGGAAAAAATTGTATGAGGGAGAAGATGTCCGTTGACATTAATAATTTTTAAACTGGAAATATGTTTTAACTAAAACCCCGCGCAGAACGATCCTAGTTCGTATCCAATCTGAGTTGGATCCGATCGTACTTATCGGGTGAAAACTACATAGGACTCTGTCGTCTAATTCAAAAAATTTTTTTCTATGAAGATTCATAATTTTTTTCCATAACCATAGATATATGAATTAAAGAGAGATTCGCATATTTTTTTTGAAATCTTATTGAAGACAAATTGGATAATTTTAGAAATTCACAGCTTCTAATTGGGTGGACAATCCGTTAAATTTTGAGCGATTGCTAGATCTAGTAAAATTTTGTATAGTCTCATATTTATTCCAGACTTCCTTTAAAATGCATAAAATTATAGACATCCATATCACATACTCTTCCAGCAACTAAATGCTCAATTCAGAAGCCATTTTATCGATTGATTTTTGTTGGATTGGTTATATTTAATGATAAATAGTGACAATAAAATCTTGAGATTAACGTCGATAACATTTTTAAGAATCTGATAAAAATAATTCTAGATGGTGATTATACAATGTCCTGGAATAATAATTTTTATATTTAATGTTCAAAGGCCTAGTCCAGAATTTTTTTCATTACTGACATTGGCTGGCACCATTGCTGTCGGAAGTATTTTTTTTTTCTTTAGAAAACCCGAAGGATTTAAAATGATCTTACCATAAATTGAAATAATATAATATATTCACTCTACTATAAATATACAAATACAAAATATTACTATTTTATGTTTCACATTGAAGCACATATTGTAAAAATATTTTTAAAACTAGACACATTTACAAAATAACTCAGATTTTCTAAATTTTTTATAGAGTTTGCATATATCATAACTAAGAAAAAAAATAAAATAAAGTTTTAACTTCTACAGCGATTGAAATACCAGCCTCGAAAGGTTGAAAAAATAGGGCATTTTGGGTTAAATTCTCTCTCTCTCTCTTTAATTTTAAATATCTTTGGATATAATTGAGCTAAAAGTGTATGACACTGAAGATATTTTTTAAATAGTTTTTGCATTTTCTTAAGGAGAATTTTAAGGACTACAATTGTACCAAAATTTTTTGAGATTTTGAGATTCGTTAAAAGAGGAAAAGGCGCTCACCGAGACGAACCATAACTCGGAATATATTTGATCTAGGGCATTAAAATTTGGATTTTTTAACATTCATATTAGTTTCATCCATTTTAAGAATGGTCCCCCGAATCACTGATCGATTTATCATGGAACTACTCGATTACCATCATACTCGATTTTAATAAATTATATATATTATATAAAAAAATTACAATCAGAGAATCAAATGATGTTCTTTCACACGCAGTTTTATTCAATATATTATACACTATAACTATGCCAAATAAATAACTTTAAATAATTTTGATTTTTTTCCTAATATTTTATATCATTTTATTTTTTTTAGCGGAGGAAAATGAGAAACGCACAAACCAAGATATAGAAACGAATAACATAGTGGATCGATTTTTGATAAAGCTTTTTAAAAATATCAAGGTATTATTTTACATCATTTTCAACAAACAAAGTGTAGAGTAAGGGTGAAATATATTTGATTGGTTAGAATATTATTTTGTTGAAAATTTATAAGGATATATTCGAATATCGATAAATTTTACAATTTAAATAAAAAGAGAACTATATTTGTTTCCCATTAGATAAATATCAACAATATCCATATCAATTACGAGGATATATTAAGCCTGCCAGATTACAATTTATCCCTGGGAATATTGGGCGAAAGTTTTATTCTCGAAAATTCGACATCGGTTTGGTACATCGATAAAAAGCCGAAAGACAAGCACACCAAATACAAAGTTACTTTTCCCCCCTTCCTTTCACTTCCCTCCTCTATATTTATATTTTTATATTACAAATTTTTTTCCCTAATTTTTTTATTAAATGATTTGTTTAAAAAAATATTTTAGGATATTTACATAATATTATAAACCCCACCAAAACCTATAAAAAATATGCCTATTAAAATGATCACTATGTTGGTCAAACGTAATTATTGAGTAGTCACGTTATTAAGATTTTACTCTATGCAAAAATGTCTGTCCCATGACCTCCCCCCTCCCTCCTTGAATTTTGGAAAATATTATTGGGTAAATTTTTGTGTTTTCAACTACTCTTAAATTGATATCCAGAAAAATAGCTTTTATTTCTTTTAAATTCTTAAAACTCCCTCCCTTCGAAAAAATCCTAAAAATTTGTAAATCATACTATATGCATATTTAATTTTTAATAAAATTTTCACAAAAAATAATTATATAAATTAATTTAAAAAAAAACGGAACTTATTCTAGGAAAGATATAAATCGGATCGAAATTTGATAATTTCTATTTCGTACTTAGTATTACTTTACTTAACAATCGCACAATCTTAGCTCTTGAGAGTAAAAAAAACTATTGTAATTGTTTTTAATTTCACTGTAGCTAATCCATTTTATTTTGCATCATATATCCAAAGATGCCAACTATCTTTTATGCTACAGCTACTAAATTATAAAAGTATCAAAGCCACAGCCAGAGGCATCGAGTCTTATATTTTAAAATAAGATAAAGGTTGATTTTTTATGATGATATTAATTTTAAAAATATATATTAAGTTTATTTAATTTTTTTTTATAATATTTGCTTTGGTGTTTTTATATTTTTTCTTCATCCTGAATCTTAATCCACTTTTTGGAATTTCCATATTTTGCTAATAATTTTATTTACATCGTTTACCAAACAGATTTATCTAAAATCTAAAGCATTATATATTGGCTTTAGAAATAGTTAAAAAGTTTGAAAAACTTCATGCTTAGGACTGCATTTTAATATGAAACAGATTCATATCAAATTTTTGAAAATATAATGAATTTAACAATATTACTTTTATATTTATTAAATAAACCAACAGATAATATATCTTTTCTTATTTTGCCAATAATTAGTTTTTATTTAAACTAGCTACCAACGGATTGAAGCCTAAACTAAATGCACACTAATCATTGATATAAGTTTCAAAATTATTGTTACTAGAAGTTTGGATGACTTCTACTTAAGGCGTGATGTCATAATTTTTATTTGGCTTATTCAGTTTTTTTTTGTGGTTGGCGAAATAGATTGAAGAATTATTAAGTAAAGAACTACATATTAAGGCTTCTATTCAGAATCTCTCTATATTTCCATTCTGGCATGATGCCAATTTTCTTTCTTATTTTTCCCAATATTTTTTTTCCCTTACTCTTCTTTATCGTTTATTCACGGATTCAAGGTTTACTCGGGTAAGTTAGTTTTCCCTATAATCGCTTTTCCCACTTTTTACAGTCCTGGGTGTCATTATTTTTAGGACTTATTTTTTCCATCTCTGCTGTAGTCACTTCCAGCCACGTCTTCATTGGTCTTCCTCGAGGCCTTGATCCCATTACTTCCAATGAAGTGCATCCCTTAACCCAATCACCCATCCTTCATTCAACTTACCCAAACCACCTCTATCTATTTCTTCTCATCACCACTCCAATCGCTTCTGTACCAATTATGCCCCACAATTCATTACTTATTTTTTCTTTCTCTCATAGATACCTCACACATTCATCTGACCATTCTCATCTCACTTCCATATAAGCCTCGCGCGCCGCTTTCATTACCCACGTTTGGCCATCGTGTAGACTATAAAACTTCTCCCAAAGCTTAACTTTTTCTTAGCTTCAGAGATACGTTTTTATAAGTTTGAATAGACTACACGTCTCGAAACTTATTCCATGCATATCTTACACTCAAAACAACAGCAAAATCAGCACCTCCATCTGGGTTTAGCATGTGATCCAAATAACGAAACTTTTCCACATTTTCTCGAGGAGCTCCATTACCGATATTTAAACTACTCCTTTCTACGTTATAATTGTCATGAACCTCTTTCACGCATAAACATAAAATATCAATTAGGCACTATTTAGTTTGGAATAAGTTTCAAAATGAATGTTTTCAAAAGCTTGGCTCACTTCATACTTAAAGTGCGACATCTTAATTTTAATTCTGTCTATAAATCGGTTTATTGTAGCTCGCAAAACTGATTGAGGAATTAGTGCTAGTCACTAAATATTGCGCAAGCCAGATATTTAGTCCTTCTATATACTAAACATTGATGCAGTTTTCAGATTAAATGCTCAGTCGATTTTCGATCGTAAGGTTGATAAAAATTTTATTGTTAATAATTTTTTCCTTTATACTGGTTACTATACAGGTCAAAGCACTCATAGGCATTAATAAAACACAAAATATTGGACTAGATTTTAGAGTTAGTGTCTCCAATTGTTCAGACAACTTTAATGAAAATGATATAAACAAAGATAATATAAATAAAAAAAAGCTAAATAAAAAAAACACGGGAAAATCAAATATATCTAATAGGACTCAGCCGAAAGCCGTGCAAATAAAAGTTTAGGTGCGAAGCTCCCATATTTTTTTTGTAACCCCCCCCCCCTCCCCCCCCACCCGATGAATTCTAGGTAGACATTGGGTCTCTGATTAATGTAATCAATTAGGTCTGAATTACCATACATGTTGAATTTAATTGCACATTGATATTTATATTAATAAACATAATAACTATTTTATATATCTGGTGTTGCGGCATACACAAACTTTATACTGTTGTTTTCACTAGATTCATTTTTTTTGAATTCGCCAAAACCTATAATATTATTCGAAAGGGTAGTTCTAATAGGTAATATTCCTATAGAATTGTGCACATAATTTAAAAAAAAATTTAGTGTCTTCTGCACAGTTTTATATTTTAAAACATATATTTTATGAAAGCGCTGACTATAAATTATATTATTTTAACAAAATTACCGTAATGGAAGACCAAGAATAAATTTAAAATATATATTTCATTAATCAAGATCGGTAAAATAAAGTCGATTTTTGTGTACTGGAACGTGATGGAGAAACGACACTCGCGACGCGATATATTCGATAAAATAAGTCAAGTGTTATCGTGGCGTAAGTGGATGAAAGATACCTTACATTTTGCTCTCAATTCCTCCTCCCCCAAAAATCCCACCATTAATGATGATTCTACTCAAAATTCCAATACCCCTTCCACTCATCGCAAAATGCAATTCGTAGTACAAAATTTTAACTTTAATCTCCTGCTGGCGCTAAACAAAAGGAACTCGCTGAGCTACGAAAACGATCTCACTTTAGATCACATACCAAAGACTAATGACTTGGAACCTAAAATAACCTTAGAAATCAATTTTGATCCTGTCACTATAAAAATAACCCAAGAACAAGTGAAATTTAATATGAAAATTTTGCCCCCTTTAAAAAAATTTGATTATCATAATGAAAGAAAGAAAATAATTAACTCTGTTATAAAATCCGGTTAGCGGAAATGAACCGCTCAAGAGAAATTTTTTACTGTTTATTTTTTTTAAAAATTCAATTTAGGCGATATCATTGCGATACCTGTGCGGTTTATATGCCCGCATGTTAGTGAACCTACCGTATCGCAAGTATTACCCCATAAATGGATCCTTTACTAAACCTTTTATTAAATGGAGATATGTGATCAAAGTTGTGCTCGAAGAAAAAATCAGGCCGTATTCTTGGGAATATATAAAACATTACAGGTGAATAAAAATCGACTTGTTTTTTTTGTACTGAAAATCTTTAGCCTTTTTTATATTATTAAATCTTATAGATGATTTGGTCTTTTAACAAGGGAAAAAATACTATAATTAAATAATTTATACTAATTACTAATGGCAGTTATATTTCTACCCAAACTCATAAGGTATATTGAAATATCTTTTCATAAAAAAATTTCATGGTAATGACTACCTATTAGGAATATGCCCTCAATGATTAATGATGCCATAATTTTCATAAAATTAATGCATGGAAACGGTCCTTCCTATTCAGGCCTTTTTATTTTTTGGAGCGACGCATCTTAAAGTACGGACTGGACTTAGGGCAGGATGCCATCTGACCGAAATTTGAAAATCGGGCTTTTCTTAACGCCTTGTATTAAATGCATGTTGTTTTTCTTCAAAAAATAAACCAATTACATAAATGGTACAAACAATAATTTGAATAATATTTTAATGTATGTATATAAATATAAAATATAAGCACAAACAAATAAAAATATACAATATAAGAAATGAAATATGTTTTAGGCGATTTCTTTATATATATAAATATAAAACTTTGATTCGCAATTAGTTATGATTTATTTGCAAATTTGAGCCATTCTTCATCTAAGAATCTAGCGCGACGACTTAGGACCTTTTTTATATTAGAAAGTTATTAAATTGAGCAAAGCAGTTTAATTTCTTAATTCATGGGTTTAAAAAACTATTATTTAATCATTTGAAGCATGACTTCAAGTGCATTTATATATTTTAAAAGGTTATAATATTCAATGATATTAGAATAATATATTTGTCATACAATAATATAACGTATTTATAAAAGGTCAGTTAAATTGAATACATATAGAAGTTAAACTGAATAATTATAGAATAGTATATATATACATATATACAAAAATTGAAAATAAAAAAATATTGACCATATATTTTATGAAGTTTCTTAAAGATATAAAATTGGCAACACAGAACCCAACAATCATGGTATTAATAAACAACCACGATGTTAAAATGGAATATGATACAGGTTCAGCAGTTACCATCATTAATGCAACAATATGGAATAAAATTGGGAGACCAAAACTTAGAATGGTTAGAGCTCTAACTACATGTAGAAACAATACAATAAAAATTATGGGAGAGATTAATGTAAAAGTTCAATTAGATGATAAAATAAAATGGCTTCCGTTATTAGTTATAAAACAAATGATGCAGCGCTATTTGGATTTCCATGGACTTTAGAATTTGATCTATCATTACCAAAAAAGGTAAAAGTTAATATGATCAGCAATAAATATGATAATAATGATAATGGAAACGTGAATATTGAAAAACTATATAAAGAATGTTTGATAATAAATTAGGATTAATAAAAATGTAGAACCAGTGAAACTACAATTGGAAGAAAATACAAAACCAATAGCACTGCCAGCTAGAAGAGTACCTTTGCCTTTAAAAGTATAAATTGAAAATGAACTGAAACGTTTGGAAGAAAATAATATTTTAAAGAAAATTGATCCATCAACAACAAGAATAACCTGGAGTACTCAAATGGTAGTGGTACGCAAAACTTCAGTTGAACTACGATTATGTGGTGATTTCAAAGTAACATTGAATAAATTTTTACTAAAAGACTATCACATTCTACCAACGTTTGAAGAATTAATGGCAAAGATCGTTATGAAAATAAGTATATAATATTAGATCTAAAAGACTGTATTGACAAAGAATCGCAAGATTATTAACTATGGTGGCACCAAATGGATACCGCTATTTATGATTACCTTTTGGTATAGCTGCAGCATCATTAATATTTCAACGATATATGGGCTATTTACTGGCTGACCGTAAAGATACAGCAGTTTATTTAGACGATTTTATAATCATAGGAAAAAATGACACAGAACATATAGAGAATATAAAACAAGTTCTCAAAAAATTACAAAATGGGATTAAAAGTTAAAACAAGTAAAATAAATTTTATGAAAGAAAAAGTATCATATTTAGGATACAAGATAAATGGAATACGCCCAATAGCAATACAAAAATATCCCACTCCAAAAGATAGACATGACATAAAATCATTTTTAGATATATTAACCTATCATACACGGATACCAAACACATGGATATCGCCGAATTGCATAATAAAACTAGTAAAAATGTTAAATGGAATTGCACTAAAAAAGATGATACATTATTTTAAAGAGCAAAATGAATTGTAACAGAAAAAACTATGTTATATAAACCGAAGGATTTGGAGTTGTACTCCTGCAAAAATATAATAATGGAGACGAATTTCCAATAGCATAAACCTCAAAAACTTTACAAGACGCTGAAAAGATATTCTACAATATATAAAGAAGCTAAAGCATTAATAAAAGGAGTAGAATTTCATAACTATTTGTATGGACATAAGTTTATAATACGAACGGACCATAAACCTCTCATAAAGATATATGGCAATAACAGAGATTTAAGTTTATTAAAATCAAAGATTATTACGTTGGGCCTATAAATTATCCGCATATGATTACGATATTATGTATAAAGGCCCTAATAATAAAATTGCAGATGCTTTATCACGAAATCCAATAGAGAAAAATGATGATAGAATAACAAGCGAAAATAAAACACTGATGTATATAAGAAACTTATGACACGTTAAATCTATCTAGAAAAGAATTTGGAGAAGAAACAGCAGAAGTTCCACACTTAAGAAGAGTAAAAATATTAATAAATGGTACAAATATTCAAAATTAAGCACCAGAATTACAAGCTTTTAGAACAAGGAAATAGAAAATGACGACGGTATTTTGTTTTGGAATGACAGATTAATCATTCCGTACTCATTTCAGAGAGTTTTACGTATATTGCATATTGGACATCCGGGTATTACATCAATGAAATCCATTACGAGATATTATATATGGTGGGAACAATTAGATAAAGATGTTGAAAAGCTAGTTGAACACTAATCAATAATAATAGATGACAATATAAAGTTAGGAGAAGATAAAACAGTTGAAACAATTAAACCAAAAGGAGGAATTCAAAACCGATATCCAACGAGGGAACGAAAGCAAATAAAAAGATTATTAGACAAACTTGAATTTGGTGCGAAATAAGATGTTATATTTTAAAAGGTTATAATATTCAACGTTATTTGAATAATATATTTGTCATACAATAATATAACTTATTTATAAAAGGTCAGTTAAATTGATTAATTATAGAATCAAGAATTGAAAATAAAAAACTATTGACAATATATTTTATAATATAAAACTTTATATAATGATGACGATGATAAAATAATATTTTTTTTCCATTAAGATCAAGCAAATACCCCTGTAATGTAAAAATAGTTATCAATATCATTGAGTAAATTTTATAATTAACCTATCGAGGTATAGGATCATTCAGATAAATCAATCGTGGTTTAAAAATGTTTCAAAAATCCAAGCATTTCTTCAATCTATAATTTTTCAAATCCTTTATAATCGAATTTATCATTATCCGTATTTTCATGTTCTTTCTAATTCTACAATATCACTATCATATCAATAACACTCCTCTTCTGTACCAATCAAAACTTTTTAAATATTGAGGAAATAATAAAATGAAATAATGAACAACTGATGATAAAAAACGACTTAGTAAGCACCATTTAATAATTATGAAGGACGGACTGTTTTTAGGACCAATTTTCTAGGACAGCTTGAGTCCATACGCGTCAAGACGGAGTTTTCCCGTTCATTACATAAAATGATTTTTTGAAAAAATGTAATATATACATATTTGCTCATATTTAGATAAAGGTTTGTTAATCATGTTAAGAAACATATCGTTGCTCGATAATTGAAATGACTTAGATGTTATTTGTTTAAACGGAGATAATTCATTTTTAAGTTTTGAATCATTATTTTCACTTAAACTTGTTTTATTTATCAGGTTGATATAAAATTTGAGATATTGCATTTAAATTTTATTCTTTTTATTATGTTTTTTTTAAAATGGATCATATGTTTTTTAACATAAGTGCATTTAAATATATTATTCAAAAAAAAAGGTTTAAATATCGCCGTTATAAATCGCTGATGTACCGAATGTATCATATAAGCCATAGTACCTGGGAAAAACTAGAAGTTCAAGACTTGGAAACTGCTCTGAATGTCACATCCATATTATTGGCTAGGGAAGAAGCTAAAATTGATGTTTTTAATTTTCTTTTTGTATATCATATAAATAAGAAGGTAAAGAAATAAATAGAGTAAAATAAAAAGAAAGAATAAACCTTTTTTAAATTTAAATTTAAAAAACATAATTATATTTATAAAAATAATCTTAAACAAAAAAACATACATAAAACACAGTATGCTTCAAAGTTTCCTACCAGTGAAAAGCTCAAATCTTGCTACCTCTGTCGGGAATGGTGGTACACCTTTCCATTCAACCATTTATATCCTAATAATTCATTTCAATCCAACACCTTGCTATTAACCCTAGAACCCAAAGGTCCTAACATACATTATTCGGAAGAGGACTGTTTTTTCCCTCTTTTCAATCTTTCCAAGCAAGACCTAGTCGATATTTATAGATTTTTGCTAGGAACAACCGATGCCACCAATTATTATTCCTCTAGTTTTTCTTCAGTCAAGAGACCCAAAAATTATGGTTTAGTTGAAATTGTGAACGAGCAAACGAGTCATGGTTCGGCTATAGGATTCGGACCTTGTCAATCTATCGTTTTAAATCGGGTTATTCACATAAACATAAATGATTACTATTTCTTAATCAGTATTATTCATAGAAAAAGAAATGTGTTTTAAAGATATGATGAGGTGTTTAGATATTTCATTGATTTTTCTGTAATCAGGTATCTAAATCAATAATATGTCATGTGTTTATTTTCTCTGTTTCTGGATTAACGTAATAAATTTGCATTTTTGTTTTATATATCAGTTTAGGGTTGGAAATAAATCATTTAAAAAATAATATCAAACGTGCATAAAAACCTTTAAAATGAGCAGTTATCTACTTTAAAAAGTGAAGGTTCTTTCTAGATCTTCAAAATTAGTTATAGAAAATACTATTCTATCCATACGCCCTTCACCAAACAATATATTATGCTATAAATATAAATAATCGATTGTTTTAGAAATGTATTATTTTCACAATTTAAAAAAAAATTAGAACTGCGACCATCACCTTGCCATTCATTTCCCTTACATTAGAATTATTTATTCCTTCGTATCGCATAATGGAACTGAGAATTCGCTCCTTTTTAATATAGTACAGTTCAACCTGGAGTTCAGTCACCGATGGCAAAATCACGCCCTAGTTCTTGACCTCACCTTAAGGACTATGAACTTGCAGTTGAAAGTTAAGGAGGGAACTCAGATTTTCCAAATCATGTGACTTAAACCTTTGATACTAATAATTTGGACAATAAAAAATTGTTTTCAATATCCTATTTACAAATGTATACTACTATTATTATATACAATATACTCCTTTTTTAAGATCAACTCTGAATTTAGATCATCGATTTAAAAAGAAGAAAGAACGACTTTTTATCTTTTATTATAAATAGAAAAATAAAACTTATATTATATATATAATATATGATTATCAAATTTATTACATTAAAGCCACCCCAAACATAAAGTCGCGATAGACCCTCCTTCCAATAATATATTCGCTTTGCAATTAGAAACCTTTCCTGTGTACGACGGCAGGCTTCTTTTCACTCTTTATGTTTTACTCGAACCTCTCGATGTTTATGTTAATCAAGAGGTATTGGATATATTTTCGGGCCTCTTAATCCAGGGAAGAAAGAAGGAAAAGCATATCATCAACACGCTTTTAAAGTTACTTCTAATGGCTACAAGTTAATATTTCTTCTTATTTCTTTAAAATTTATTAATTTAAAAAAGAGTTACATTTTGAAGATCCAAAAATTTTGGTTTGTATTAACATGTTCAACTTATAGCAATTACTAAACAACGATCAATTTTTTAAAAAATATAAAGACCTATTTATTTTTTAATATTAATGGAATCACGTGGTCCAGTCCGATCTACTATATATCATCCCGCAAGTATTAAACCACTAAGTTGGCTTCAGAAAAAAGACGATCCTCACGGGATTCGAACCCAGAACCTTCGGATTGAGAAATATACTCTTATCCGACTAGGCCTGAGACACTCTTTGAAAATGACTATTTTTAGATATATATATAAACAAGTGTTACTCGATCGTATCAAAATTTGATTCGTTACCATGTTATATCTAACATTAACCAAAAATTTTACACCTTTGTGGATAATTTTTTTAAAATGCAATCATTGCGACATGATTACAATTTTTTTAATGTCCAATAAACGAGATAAAAATGTTAGCTTTTATAGATCTATTTCATGATTGTTAGTCGGATAAAGTATAATTTTTTTATCAGCAAAAATATGTTTATATTTGTAGTAAGCCTGTCTTCGCAGGTAATTAAAATGCGAATTTTATAAAAATAATACTTTTTTTTAAGATGCGCGTAATAAAATGCGTGAAATTCGCCAAGACACTCACTTCTGTTTAAATTGTTTATAAAAATTTGCGAATATATGCCCGAATATGCGCATTTTGCTAGCAAAGACAAAGTTTTATACATTACATTATATATATATCACATTATAATATATATTTATAGTTTTTTACATTAAATATAATATTTATTAATAAAATTTAATTATGAGGGTAAGGTTAACTATAATTTTAAACCTTTATAGGTAGTTATATTAGCAAATTATGTTTGTATAGATTTTACGACCCCTCTATTATATATAATTTTATCCCATTAGGGAAGGATCATTACTAATTACAATTATAGATATAATAAATATTAATATTGTCCCATACCCTTTTTTTTGAAATTTTGTATAACATTGATGAATTATCTTGTATTATTATACGGTGTGTAGGAAATTATATAAAATTACATTTAGAAAGAAGAAGATGGCCCTATGTAATGTAATATATAAATTTAACCCATTATAGGGATTGCAAATTAATTTATAAGGATCAAAATAGCCCCTTGTTTAATATATAATTTTAAACCATTATAAAAATTTACAATACTAAGATGGAAAACAATATACCCCCCCCCCCCCTCCCCCCATTTTTTTTGAATTGTTGGTTTATTAGATAATGTTATAATATCTCCTCAATAAATAAACCATAAAATACATTGATAATTTAAAATTATTTCTATTGTGTTATATGATTACTACTAATTGTTAGCACAATTTTTAGTTATTTTTATTTAATGTTCCCTAATTTATCCATCAAATGCAAAATTATGGTATAAACATTTTGTCTTTTTTTAAACCGGTGCATGTAGCAAGTATTATTAAAAAAAAATTTTTTTTGATGTTAAATAAAAATTTATATATAAATGTATGTTAAAAAAGAACATGTAAAATATTTAAAAAAAAGAACAAATATATGAAATTAAAAATAAAAATTAAACAGAAGAATGCTGAATAATTCGAGCCAAGAATTTTTAAACATTAAATAATTGGAACGAGTTATTGTGATAGCAATGTTTTGTTTGAGTTTATAAAAAGGAGAGATATGTGTTTTTTTCCTTATGAATTTGGAAATCATTTTGAAATGATTCAAAGCGGCTTGCTCAAATGAGCAGGATGATGTAGCTATGATGGGGACAAAGTGATTATCACCCACCAGATAAGAATATTTTTGACATTTTCTCAGCCCCGAGAAGAGGGTCATGTACATTATTAAAAGGGGCAAGGGGTCTATGCAAGTAAAATCCCAGACCAGGGTTTGCCAGAACTATAGTTTTTATGCCAGGACGTTTTTTATATATGCTGAACGTGGGCTCAAGAATGCATATAGATTGCCTTATCGAGAAATGTAGCACTTAATCGATTTGAAACTATATTATATTGTTTAAATTGTAATAATATTTTCTTAATCATAATCGAAGAAATAGATAATTTAAACCTTAGGACAAATTATCACGATTAAAGACTATAAATACAATTAAAATATATATAAAATTATTGTGATATAATTATAGTTAAAGAATAAAAAGGGACTTATTACAATTATCAAGATTATTTATTATCTAAAACATCGGAGGCTAAGTATTGATACCTTATAATACAATCCACTAGGGGTGTACCGATACCACTTTTTGGAGGCCGATCCGATCCGATATTTCAGATATTAAATTGATATCGGCCGATAACCGATCCGATATCATATCTAATTTTGTATTCTGCAAAGATACCGGTTTTAATTTTTAATATACTTTTTATTAGTACAACATCTATAATTTTACTATACCATAACATATGTCATTTAAATATATTATAATGGTCAGTTATAGTTTATATTCAATTCAATTGCTATTATTTATATAATAAGTAATAACATTAATCTATTTACCTAATTAGTAATAAAAAAATATATTATGAAATTTGAAATTAATATTTAAAATTAATATATCGAAGATTTCTATATCAGAGATATGTCGGCGGTGATGGGGACTGTTAATATCACTAGCATCACTAAAAACAGATACTGAAGAGATTAATGAACACTTTTTTAAACAGAATGCGAAAAAAATAACTATATTGCAGAATGTTTATTAACTAATTATTTCTATTAAAAAAATTAAACATAAAAATGTATTTCGATTTTATTTATAAAAATAAATGGTTTTTTAGATATAACTTTTTTTAAATTTTGTTAAAAGCGCCATTTTATATCGGATCGGAAAATTTTATAATATTTGCCGATAATCGATATTTTAAAATGAGCGAAATATCGGCCCGATCCGATCCGATATAAAATATCGGTACATCCCTACAATCCACCATCAAATAGAGCCACTTCTGATCTATAAACTCTAAAATATTTGTATTTTTTAATAAGAAATCTGCTACAACGCCTTGTCCAAAACTTACAGGTCTCGCTATTCCATCATGCTGAAAGGAGACATAAATCTTCCTCATGCTAATTTAGAATTCCTTCGCAATGAACGGGAAAATGATATGAATTTGATCGTTAATATGGGCCGAATAAAATTAGATACTCATCTTCCATCCAACAATGACATTGGTAATATTGACAAATATTACCGTGATCTAATCGACGAAGATACTACTAACAATGAGAAAAACTTGTACGAAACGTTGTACATTAAATTTCAAGACTTTAAGGTATATATTTTTATGAAAGCATATAAGATTTGATATAACATAAAGTCAAAAAACTCAGTTTTATTAATTAATATTATTTTGATGAATCATTTTTTTACTAACATTGTGAAATTTAATTCAATTTTTTTGAAATTATTATTTTTTGTAAATCTGTTTTTTTAATATTTATATTTGATTGATATCAAATCAGAGGCATCACTAGCCTTTACAATCTCAGAGGGCTCATAAAAATTTTAAATTATTTACAAAATTACCTTTTTTTTAGCCTTTTCTTTTTTTTTATTTAATCTAACTTACCTTTTTTTAAAATATTCATAATATTTCAGCGTGCGACTGTATGGGATATATCATTATTTATATTAAATGAGGAAAAATCAAGACAATTATTAGATTACAATAGTATTTCCAAATTCTCATTTTTAGTCGCGTGTATTTTCAAAGAATTTGGTATCGTTGATATTGTCAAAATTTTTATTTTGTATTCGTTAAAATAGAATTTTTTTAAAAACACAAACAGATTTTTAAATTTCTTTTAAAAATATTACTTTTCATTCATTTACAAGAAAATTAATACGCCTAATTTAAACAGAGGTTAGTAAGAAACACTCAATTTAAAAGCCCTATAAATTATATTTACAAATAAAGGCCAGAAATTTTAATTTATTTTTTTAAAAACATTTAATTTAGTTTTCATATCGAATCCTGCCTCTGACCGAAGATTGGTTCCATATTTTTCCGAATTGCCTAGATTTTTCCGTTAAAATCAACAATCTATTAGAAACTTTGTTTTCCACCAAAATTCCTAAGTAATGTTAAAAAAATTTTTTTATAAAAAAATATATTTAGACTAAGAATAATTTTGCAATTACATAAAAGGGTTAGAAAAATCATTTGAAAAGTTAGCCATTAATGTAAATATAAACTAAGACTGTAGGAAGAAGAGATAATGACTCAAATTAAAATGTTATGAACGTTTAAAATATGCTTTTTCAGAAAAACGAATTTGTCGAACACGATTAAACAGAAAAAATGACTTATTAATATCTAAATTATAAGGGCTAGCTACACTCAGATACTATTCAGAATAATTGCTAAGAAGAGTTATCATAAATATGCTTGAGTTGCGTGAAGCAGAATCTTGTGGAGCAGCTGATAAATTTTTATTGAAAATAGAATTTTTTAAAAGAAAAATATTACATTTTAAAATCTGATTATTGAAAAGAGTCAAAATGGAAACCTCAATATTGCCATTTAATATCCATATATCCAACACGATGATTAAATATATTTTATCGCTAATCGAAGTGGAATATGTTAGTAATTTATTTTATTATCTACTCCATTTATTGGCACTCAATTTCGATAAATCACCAAAAGATATATTAGACGTCATATACATCGATTTGTTTCCTCAGGTATAATTCATATTCACAAGTAATATCCATATTTAAACTGTTAAATTTCTATCTTTTACAAAAACGATCATTCATTGATTTTTTTGTAAAATTTTAGAATAACCTATAATTTACTATTAAAAACTATTCTTTGAAAATATTAAAAAATTATTAAAATTAGTAAAAGAAAATTAAGGTGGAAAAGTATGGCATTGCCAATGAGATATAATATTACTTAGACTGACAAATAATTTATTTAAAGGTGTATTAAAACTAAGAGGTCTGCATTGGGCGGGTTTTTGGACCAAAAGCCCGCCCAACCCGCCCATAGTTTTCAAAAAAATATATAAAATTTGTCTAAATTCCTTACCCGCCCGCCCATCAGTCTAAAATTTTTTACCCGCCCGCCCATTATTTATAAAAAATTTTAACCCAAGTCTACTTATAAAATTTAATAATGATCATTCTTTCAATTTTTCAAACATCTAATAAAAATATTTCAGCATTACACCTCTACAAAAAGTTTATAATTTAGGAAATTAATTTAAGCATAAAAAAATATTCAATTTAAATTATGAACAATTTATTTGATCAAATAGAATATTTATGAAATAAATATAAATATAAAATTGATATTATATGTAATTATAATGAAAAAATAATAATGAATCTACATTTTCTGGATTCTAACACGTTCTTCTTTGTTCTAAAAACCTTCCAGCAATGCTAAATCCTCGTTCAGAAGAAGCACTAGTTGCAGGAATTGCCAATATTTTTCTTGCTAATCTTGATAGCTTTGGCAAATCTCTTGTCGTTTCCACCAAAGTAGGATATCCATCTGAAGTATATCTTCTATCTCAAGTGTTATCCGGATGTCTCGTATACAATATATGTAAAACTCTTTTTTGAAGTGAGTACGAAGATTAATCTGCCATTCCAAAATAAAATACCGTGCTATTTTCGTAATCGTTTCATGCTATTCGGAATAGTAACAGAACAAAATACTATACAGTTTTATAAACCAGACCTCGAGTTAATATTAGAAACAGATGCATCTAACCAAGGATTTGGAGCTGTATTCATGTAAAAATATGATAATGGTAACGAATTTCCAATAGCTTACCAAGACGCTGAAAAGAATTATTCTAGAATAGACAAAGAAGCAAAAGCAATAATAAACGTCGTAGAAAAATCTCACAACTATTTGTATGGACGAAAATTTAAAATTTGAACAGACCACAAACCTTCAATAAAGATATATGGTAATAACAGAGATTTAAGCTCATTAACAAACCAAAGATTATTACGTTGGGTTTATAAATTATCTGCATATGATTATAATATAATGTACAAGAATGGCGTTAATAATATAATTGCAGATGCTTTATCGCGAAACCCAATAGAGAAAAATGATGATAGAATAACAAGTGAAAATAAAACAGTGAAATATATTAAATCCTACTTATGACACATTAACTCTATCAAGAAAAGAAATGGTACAAAATTACAAAATCAGATTTACAAGCTTTTAGAACAAGAATAGATGAAATAGAAAATGATGACTATTTTATTTTGGAATGGCAGATTAATCATTCCGTACTCACTTCAAAAAAGAGTTTTGCATATATTGCATACGGGATATCCGGGTATTACAATAATGAAATCCATTACGAGACATTATATATGGTGGGAAAAATTAGATAAAGATGTCGAAAAACTAAAGTGTTCTTTACTTAAAAAAACGATTGGTACAAAAAAAAGAAATATTGTTATTGATCATAATTAATTATGATTTTCTTTAGTTTGTTTTTGAACGAAAATTTTAAATTTCCTTAACCCGCCCGCTCATTGTTTAAATTTCTTAACCCGCCCACCCGCCCGCCCATAGTTTCAAAATTTTTATAACCCGCCTGCCCATTTTCAAAATATTTTTTTACCCACACCCGCCCCTGGCGGAAACCCTGCCTACAGACCTCTAATTAAAACATATCAGTTTGAGACCACAATTTTAATTTCTCGTGCAAATCATCAATATAAAAAATTCATAAAAAAATAAGAATATCATTTTTTTATAAAATTCTTATAAAGGAAACCAAAATGGCGTGATAAATAAATGAATTCGTAAGTATAGGTAAGTATTTTATGTCATTGGACATAACACATAAAGTTTATTTTTTGATATCATTTAAAATAATTGTTTTTTTTAAAAAAAATCATAAAAGAGTCTTACCAATTATTATCAACCAACCAGGAATTATTTATCGGAAAAATGCTCATGTCACCACGACCTTAAAAACAGCAACAAAAAAAGTAAATTTTATATAAAAGATACAGTTAAATTTTATATTTCATCATTCGATCACTTAATTTTTTTGAAACTTTCTGAGGACCATTTTTTTTGAAACTTTCTGAGGGCCATTTTTTTAGAAAAATTTTGGTTTCTCTTATAAAATAATATTATAGTCCACTACGCGGAGACTAATTATACACGATAAATTTAAATTTAAAAAAAAAATAAAGTTACCAATGATGTCATCGATTATTTGAAGGTCAACAGGGGAAAACGAGACATGAATGACGATATACTAACGGAAGTATTGCGGGACTACGAAAAAGTTCACGATTTTTTACGTAGTTTGGCTTCTTACTATACCTTCACTGTTGTATTCAAAGAAATTAGCCTCAAATATCTTATTGATTCTTTCCATAACGAACACCCGGCTAACAAAGATCTAATCATTATACGAGAACACCAACCCCAAAATTTTATTTCTGCCTACACCATAAATATGCGAAACCTCGAATTTATATCAAAATCGCTGGCTTATACCTTCGAATATTACCATTTACTCCAATTCGACCTTCAATCGTTGAGCGTAGTCGATGAGATTACACCTCTTTTGAAAAATGCCATCAACGTATTCACATCGTCGCCTTTCTCCCTTGAGCAAAAATTAATTTTATTTGAATCTCATTCTACTAAACCATTTATGTCTGCCATATTAATGTTCAAAGAGAAAGAACTCTCATCCGAGTTGATAAACACTCCGTCCTTGAAATACTTGTGCGATGGTTATTCACGATCATCCCTACCGTTGAAATGCGATAAATATTACTATCGCATTATTAACAACATAAAAAGTTTACAAAATATGGCTCATTTTCACGTCAATTCTTTACAATTACGTATCTCGGAGATGAGCGTTATCAACCTATGCAGGGTATTGAAGATATCTTCTACTGAATATATCAAAACACCTTCGAAATCAGCCCATTTGCGTGTGAACCACCATGCCCCTATCAAAGCCTGCTATAGAACACTCACGACCGAATTTCGGGAGCGATTTGATTCGTTTACCCTCTTAGTAAACGTTAAAAAATTTAGGGCGGACTTTATGAAGGAAAATGAGTTTCATTCGCATACCATAACCCATTGTAAAAATCACAATATATTGACTAAATTTATTTACACCTTCGATGCTTCTAATTTTGAATTTTGTTTGACTGCATTTTTAAACCCTTTACTATATGACTTAACCAATAACGTGAAACGTCACACCGCGTCCTTGCCTTACATACATAATCAGTTTAAACGAACCATTAAACTCGCTAACATATTATCGCGTATACTTTTTAAGATAGGCCTGCAAAGGTTTAAAATTTTTACTAAGGATCTTAATACTTTCGATAAAGGTCCCCTACGCGAAATAATTATATTTGATACCTGGACCTTCTCTCCCCCTATCTATCTTGTTAACATATTTTACGATTCTAAGAGCAAAAACTTTATTAACAACTTCGGCAGTTTTGAATTTTTACTGAACCCTGATTTGTATCAGTCGTTTATATATTTTTGCGAAGACAATTACATAAGGGCTCTCATGCTTTTAATATTAGGTGTTAGTGGCAGATACTGCGGCATACTCCTCAACGTCTTGATATTAGATTTCGATATCTCTCAGGTTTTTAATTTCACCATTCAACGCGGCATGTTGATTTTTCTCTCCCAAGATACTTTTCTTGACCAATCACAGGCCCTTGAGATATATTGGCACAAAGTTTATTGCATGGATCTCCAACATTCAATCGAACAAATTCATTATCTGGATTTAGCAAATTTTTCTAAGGCCTCATCGAAATCGAGCATTTTAAAAATAGACGAACTCGCCGTTAAAACCGCCACGTATCAAGATTATGCGTTTAAAAATTATAATTTGATATCCACCTATCTTTTTTTGGAAATCCAAACTTTACCCGTATATCTTAATTATTTTGAAATTGGTTCCACAGGGAAAGCGAAAGACGTTATTTATGCGAAAGTTTTCTTCACTTCGATGGCTCTTAACATTAATATCCGATCCTTAATGTTATTGTTAAGGTTTATATCATACCTCTTTAATTTGACAGATTATTACAAATCGGGCAAATACTCATCTCTCTACCTCAAAGCACCTATTCCATCTTTCCATTTTACGATAACCAAAAACATAAATCTCAAAGTCATTTGCAATCAGCTGCAAGGTTATTTTTCTCGTCTTAACGATCAATCGCACTCAGAAATGATACACTTGGTAGATTATTTTAAGTTCGAGGTAAACACTTTATCCCTTAACTACGACTTATATCGTGCGTCTTCACTTATCGAACTAAAGTTTGAATCTTTAGATTTATACATTAAAAATGACTCAAATACCGTTCGCGATGATTTACGATATGCTAAACTATTAAACATCTCTTGTCCCAACAATAAAAAAGCTCATTCATTTCAAACAAGAGTTACACACGTAGGTGGAAAGATTATATTGAAAGCTACTGTTAACGTTGTCGCGTTTAAAGTAACACCGGCCTCAGTGAGAACATTGAAAAAGTTGTTGCCATGTTTATTGAACGATGCCTTTAGTTTAAATCTAATCGATGAGTTTTCTCATGTTATTCTATTTTTGACAGGAGTGTTGAAACACGTCACAGCCGATTTTTTTCTAAATCTTTGTAACCAAATATCGATATATTATGGAGAAAATAACGACGGGAAACGGTTTACATTAGGCAATTCTGTAATCTTACTTTTTCATTGGCCACTCGCAAAGAGTTGCGGCTTGAGATTTGATATCTTAGACATATATTTATTATGCTCAAGTTTGGACTCTTCTTCTGGCCACGACGATAGACGGATAGTGGTGCACCCCTTTTCCTTGAAATTAGGTATTTTTGGGAGCAGTGTATCATTCATAAAAAAAATTATCATATCCCAGCTGTGCGTTCATATATTTCCCGATATTTTTAAAGGTTTTTTCACAATGTACCATGATTATAGCTTCCTATTTTTCGAAGGAAAAAATGAACAATTATGGTGTAACAATTTCTCACGGGAATTTCCTTTCGATTCTCTGTACCAATGTATGGACATGAGCGCAATGTCAATCGCGGGTTTACAAAAATACGACGCGCATGATAATAATGAAAACCTGATCAAAATTATGAATGGAATACGAACATATTTTTTTACCCTTCCGATTAAATCTTTCGAAGTTAAACTAGATATAAATAATATGAACTTTTTTTTGGAAGACGGTAGCTCTTATCCATTGCCTTACATAGCCATCAAATCTACTCTCAAATCGTATTTGACTTTTGACGAAAAATTTATAATTTCCTTCAACTTGAATTTAAAATCTTTTAGCCTAAATATAAACGACACGTCTTGGCAGCCTTTTATAGAACCCAACTCGGAAGATTTGCAGCCCGGTGTATTTTGGAACGTGTATGGGTTTATGATCATTGATTGTTACGGTATATTTGTAAATAATCAATACCCTTATGGGGACGTTCCACAAAATGAAGATTTAATCGATATTTGGTATTTTAGAAAATTAATTAGCGATTTAAAAGCTAAATTCTTGACAGGGAACTCAAAAGGGAATCAGGTTTTACCAGACCCCCGGGTTATAAAGAACAAAATTACCCTTATAGTATGTATCGATAATCAAGCCAGTATAAACGTGACACTTGACCTTATTGTTATTTTGAATCAAATGATACAAAATATTTTGAACCCCTGGCCTTCAATTCCTTCCATAATCCTAAAGAATAACTCGGGACTAAAGATAGGCAAAATAAGTCCTTTCAAGATTTTAAAGGAAGGCATCGAACACATGGCTGATTCTTCTGTCTATCATTTAGAACCCATTTATCTTTTAAGCCATAATAACGAAGATGCCAATTTCCGTGATAACTTTCAAAGCACCATCTCATCGACCAATTGCTCTATTCTCACATGCGCCGTCAAAAAGAATTCTAGATTCCCCGGTGCCGTCTCGAACAAAAATATAAAGCCGGGTTTCAATTTATATATCTCGCTAGAATCCGGAGCCGGGCAGCATCCATTAAACATTCCTTTGCTAAAACTGAATAGTTTAATTCGATACGATATTCCTGACGGTGAAGCGACTCGTGATTATAACTTATACTCGTATTCGCGCGTGCACAAAGGTAAATATATCGTTACCCTTTTCTCAGGTCACAGACTAGTGAACGCCACTACAAATCTGAATCTTAAAATAATGGTAGTTACAAACCCAAAGTGTTTAAAATCTCGTTTTCTATTGAGATATGTGCACACGTTGAAACCAGGAAGTTCTTTCGATATACCTCTTTCACTGCTCATCGATGACGAAAAATTGCTAGTAAAGCCGTTTTTTAGTAAGTGCCGGAGCGATTTTACCTTGCTATCAGTGGATCGATCTATATTACAGAAGGTGGTGAAGGAAGGCGGGCAAATTTTCGAGTTCAAAAATAGACTAATCAATTATGAAGTAAGCGGCCTCACTCCTCTCTACCTTAAGCTGGAAAAAGATCTCATTTTGCCTGATTACGATTATAATTTTATAAGCGATAACCCTATAGAGAGGTACGCGTTTAAAACGCCTCTTATTATATACAATTATCTACCGTTGGATATAACCTTATCATTCTCACAACCAAAGTTATTCAAAATTATCAAACCGACAGAATATATTATTCAGTCTCAAGGTCAACTTTCTATTTATGAAATAGACCCCTTGACCCAAGATTTAAGCCTTAAAGTAGGCGTAAAAGATTATCTTGGACATGATTGGGAGTTTAATTTCACGCCGGGGTACGAACTAAAACAGGTTCCTTACATAATTAATTTCTTTCCTACTACTGATCACCAATGCTCATCCAAATCCCTTTCCGTGAGAATTAAAAAGAATTCACCGCCGGTCCGTTCCTCTTATTCTCTTCATTTTTATTCGCCCTGCTACTTAGCCAATCACACCGAAAGCCCCATATTGCCTTATAAGGATGGCAAAATTGTCTCTGAAAATCATGATTATCTAAAGAGTTACACTAAATTTTTCTTGATGGACGCTGACTTGAGCTTAAAGTTCGATAATTTTAGATTAGCCTTGTTCCCTTATTTCGCTCGAGACAGCGTGATTTATAATTCTGACCCGTTTTCTTTGATAAACACCGAAAACAATTTTTCTCTCGATTTTCACGCCGCTAAAACAGTTGAAGAAATAGAATCCTTACGAATTCCCGAATCTGTGCAATTGTTCGTTTATTTAGAAAGAACAATCAACATACCATCTTATATCATAGTGCATATTTATCCCAAATGCATGATTGAAAATACTACAGATTACGACTTAACACTATTACCGTCCAGGGACAGTAGAATTATCTCCGGTAAAAGACTAGTTCAATTTCCAGTCATTGACTATGATGACAGTTTTTCTATAAAAATCGGGCCCAATAAATCCCACGCATATTTCCCTAAAGATTCAAAGTGCAACACTTTAGTTTTGGTTAAAATCAACGATAACAGGATCCCAAAGGCAAATATATTGTTCATAAAAACTGAAGAATTCTTGGAAACTATTCTGGTAATTCCAACATTTGATAGCAAGGAGATTTATATCTGTTTAAAAAGTTATCCTTTCGAATTCAATCGCTTAATTAAGTTTCAAAAGTATGTATACATTCATATAAAATAAATTTTGCATAATTTTAAATTTTATTTATTATTCTCAAGATTTTTTAACAAAGATATCCCTTTACTACTTATCAACCTATGTCCGCATTTAAGCATAATAATAAAACAAAAAAATGCAAAAAATGACAATTCTCTCATCTTAAACCCCAATCAATACATGTATTACGCGTGGGAGGATATGTCATTAGATAAATCTTTAGTGTGGGATCTTGTCATTTCCAGGTAATCTTTATGTATTTATACCATTTTTTTAAAAAATTACATAAGTTTAAAAAAAGTTGAATTTTTTTAAAAAAAATCATTTGATAATAGTTCAATTCTTAAACCTTATTATAGAAATTATGAGATTTATGAATTGGATAATGACATATATTTTATTTTAGAGAACAATCAGACGAGCACACTTCACCGACTATAAATGTTGACGAAAATCAGTCCTATGGAAATTGTCTATTTCTTAAATCCCCTTTCGCTCACCCAAGCAGCAAAACCACTTTCGCGACACAAAGTTCAACCTCGAATCTACTTTGCAGCCACAACAACGAAGAATTTATTGATGGAATCGCTAACATTAATGATGTGAACACAAACGAAATATCTAATTCATTTTACCAAAACTTGAGTCTAAATGCCTTGGTTATTCATTATTCCTTGATATTACCACAGGGAAATGATATCCACAGCGATGATTTTATATACAATAAAGTCTATTGGGCCAGTTTTTCTAGCAGTTCTTCTCAAGTAAATTTTTAGTTGATTTATAAAAAAAACAATATTTATTTTAGAAAATTGTGCTATTTACCGATAAAAGCTCTCTGGCGAAATATTATGGCACTAGCAGGAGAACTTTGTTGGTACCTTCCTTTGAAATAACATTGGTTCAATTAAAAAATTTAGGAATATCTGTCATTGGCCCATCATCCGAAGAATTATCTTATATTACAATATTACCTAATATCAAAGTAATGAAATACATTTATTAAGAGTTTATACTGTTATTACTAATAATTATATCAAGAAATATTTTTATAGGAATCTTTATAAATATATAAATTTACATTCAGTACTGTTTCGATAAAATGTATAATTGAGAAATTAAGTCCTAGTATTTTATATTATTTTAAAAATTTAATTAAAAACCTCAAAGCAAAACAATCCTAAGCTTGTAATTATGAATAATAGCTAATATATATTTTTTTATATGTCGTAGGAAAATGCAAAATGTTTTGATGAAAAGGAGTTTTCTTATGCAATTAATTTCTCTTACAACCGTAAATGCTGTTTGCAATGCATTATTAATAATTTACAGGTAATTATTTACCATTCTTTTGACCGCCACCAATATTCAATTTTTTATAATTATGAATAATTCAACGATTTTTTAAAATAAATTGCTAAAATTTTTGTTTTGTTTCGAGAACACTTTAATATGCCTATTTGAAATTTTTTTGTTAAATCCTGATATAAATAATAAATAAGTTATTTTAAAAATAATGACTATCATTAAAAATTTTTATAAAAAAGCATTTTATTTTTTCTTTAAAAAAGTGAAAAACCAAAATTATTTAAAAAATATATAATCAGGCCAAAAGCCCTAAGAGTCAACATAAAACCCTTTAATAAATTTATTGAGAACCCACTTATTTGTGCTCCACCCCCATCCTAAAAAGACCAAACCAAACTCAAAAAAATAATTTGAAATTCCTGACATTACATGACCTGAAACGATTTTTTTTTTAAGAGAATTTTTTTATATTTCAGTATGCTTAGAAACGATCTAACTATATAAAATTGTATTTAAACTAAATATCTGCAGATGGCAAAGTTTTTAGACCCACCACAGTGGGAATTTAGTTTTTTCCTAGACCAGTTTCAATATATTTACTAAGGTTGCCTGGCTGAAATAAAGGTCTAAATCAACATATTGTTGAACGTCAAAATAAACAATTATTTATAATATATGGAAGTGGTTAAATTAAAAATAATATACTTTATAGATTGTCATCTATGAAATCAGAATTCTTAAATATATACAAATTTTTTGCCCGGCACGGCCCAAATGAATTTTTTCAGACGTTACCAGGCCCATGTGCTTAGTAGATCTCTAATTAATACATAATCTAAAAAGCATTTTTTAATATGAAAAGATTTATTTATTAATTATATGTCTGTTATTTACATTTGCATTATATATTTTGGATTAGTCTTTTTAAATAATTAAATATAATCCATTAAGCACAATAAGTTAATAAAAACATACAATTTTTATTAATCAAAATAAGAGATATTTTTCACTACATCAAAATTAAATAAAGGTATATTCCACAAAATTAACCTTTAAACATAAAATAAATATAAGTTATCGAATATCGTAACAATGACCATTTATTTTAAGTATTATTTTTAATTAAAGGTTGACAATCAAATAATTAATTCCATCTATCCATGTGTTTTGTACCCTTCTTCCACGCTAGATTTAACATCGAACTACTCAGACCCGACGCCTTTTATCAAAATAAAGTTAGATTTCGAGCTACCTGACAACTATAACTCAACCAAGATAATGTTTATATAGTTTTAATAAGATTTATTATTATTATTTCTTTTTGATATGGCTTATTTTAAGCTTTTTAGATATAATGCTACGTCCCTTCGACATAAATATAGATCGCGGGTTTTTATTCGTTGCCTGGGCCTATTACCATTTAATTGAAAAGTATTATAGAAAGGTTTTATTTAAAACATTAATTTTATAAAATTACTTATCCCTCGACCGATTAAAAAATCGTAATATTGAAATAACATGTGTGTTTTGTTAGAATAAGCAAATTCAACATCTTTTTAATTTTGCTATTTTTCAACTGGTCAGGATTTAGTAATAACACGATTTTATACGCCTATTTTTTTGTACCATTTTAGGTTATTACGACTTCAGATATCAAGGTAAAATGAATTTGTTTAAATGGAAATTACTGATAATGTTTTTATTATCATAAATTTAGAAAATCTTGAAAACATCCCTAAAAATTGAACATTTGTATATTCATCCATTAAATGTAAGTTATAAATATTCGACCTCATTGATATTGTGAAATTTAATACTATTAGGTTAACATTTGCTTTACACTCAGGGGCGAAACAAACATTCCCTTCCTTCACAAGAATGCATCTTCTAATGAAATTATAGATTTCTGTCTAGACTTTTTCGGAAGTTCGTTTGTGGATATATCCAACGTCGATGTAAAGTATACAATTATAATTTAAATCAAATACTAATTTAGTAATTTATCTTCATTTTTTTTTGTTATAGTTACTCAAAATTGACAATCAAATTTAGCGAGCAAAATATAACGGAATTGATAAGCTCGATATTCAATCATTATTTTTATCAAAGCCTCTGGCAGTCCTATATATTTGTTTTAGGACTTGATATTCTAGGAAATCCTTATACCCTTCTTAAAGATATTTCTAAAGGCATCATTGATTTGCGTGGTAATCTAAGGGGAAACTCCGATTTCACTTTAAAATTGTGTGATCAAATAAGGAAACAAAAGATAACTCAAATTTTGAAAAAACTTAAATGTAGCAATGAATTGTTAGAGTTGGAGCAGCTCAAGCCCCATATGGGTAATATCAGATTCAATCTCGTTAATAGATGGGATTTTATGCAAAAAATTATGATATTTTTATTACGTATAGCAGGTTCATCCCTTAAAATATTATAATCAATATTTATATTTTTAATAAAGGTATATTATTGGGCCCTATTTTAGCCATAAGTGAAAATTTAGCTGAAACATTAGCCATACTCTCCTTGGATAATACTTATCAGCTCTCCCGAAAAACTCTTATCAATTCTTCCTCCCATTCCATCAGACAAAATATTTGTAAATTTTTGCGTCTGTCATTCTATGGAACATATTCGGGGTTAAAAAATGTAATCAATATTTTAAATCCAGGTAGTTCTTAATTTTTTTGAAATATATATTTTTAAAATATTATATGCTCAATTTTAGCTCATATAAACCCAGCAGATATTCAAAATTTTAATAGTAATGAATTATTCAATTTAATGCACATCAAATCATCAAATTTAAATATTCCATTATATTTATCAAGCTCTTGCGACAACCTGTCATTAAATAAAGACGAAACATTTTCTTTAAATTTATTAACCATTTACGCTAAGAACAAACATTTCAAGAGATCACCAATAAATTTAGGCGACAATTCGATGAAGACTTATGCGAACCCGATACCGAATCGAAGATATTCGGATGGCAATCTTAATATCTCTCAGTGCTTAATTCCCCTCCATCGTAGATCAGAGCAAACGAGTAAGCGAATAATGTGGTTTAGAAATTTCCATTATAGGCTCGGCCAAGCCTTATTCAATGGTTTAGTGATCAAATCTATCATCAGTTTTTTGGATGCTCTTTCATTCATTGCTTACACGACTCGGCACGCCGTTAACGTGGGTGAGCCTTTGATCAAAAGACTTCGTTACCCTAGAGCCTCTAACCCTGTTCTGGGGGTTCCTTCATATGTAGGCAGCCAAGCTCTGGGTTATTCGGCCTTTATAGAAAGTTTTGGGCATACCGTTGGTATCGTCCAAAATTGTTTTCCCATATTACCACCATCCAAAAAATCAAAAAAAGTTAACGCAAGACAGATTGCTCATATTGATTTCGAGTTCAGGAAGATTAAAGTTAAGGACATATATTGCCATCAAAATCTCATCTATTTTCTCTACAGCCTAGTGGGACATGATATAAATGAATGGCATGATATGGAGAAAATGATAAGGGAGCCAGCAAAAACTAAGAAATTTTTGGAAATAAACAAAGAGGATCATCTATTAATATTGACTACGCAGTAATGATTTTTATTTTTAATCCATTAATAATATATATTTTATTTTTATAGGCACATATTGTATATCACTAAAAACAAGATTTGGGGGTATTGGCAAATAAAATGGGCAGATCAATTGATGCATATCAAAAATATAATCTTAGACCAGCCAAATAAAATTATACATTACACGGCCAAAAAAGTAACCTTACATTATGTAATCAACATAATACTTTCATCATTTAAAAAAAATAGTTAATAGAAATCGATGAAATGAATGCAAAAACGATAGACAGAAATATATTAATACCTGACCCCAAAGATTTCACATTAATTTTCAACTTTATTAAAGCTTTTGGCTGAATTTTATTTATACTAGCTATATATGGTATTATAAAATTAATCGATTCCTATCAATCGCACATATATTTTATATATTTATCGAATTTATATATAAAATGAGTTTTTTTTGAAAAGTATATATAGTGATATTAAATACAATATTTGTACAACGATAACACATTTAATTCCTTTTATTTTCCATTAACAAATCAATGGGCAGATCGTATTTCATCAATCGATTGTAAAAAGATTTGTCCAAAAAATTTTCATGCGTTACTAAAAGTGATTTCCCATGAATAATGACGGAAGTAAATATAGAAGAAAGTTTGGGTATTTTAACGTCGTTTAAGGTAAAATAGCATGTTTTAGTGAAAGGGGGGATGAATCTAAAAATTTGGTAAGATAATTTATCGTTTTTATCTATGGACATACTCAAAACGTATCTTTTAGCTAGGATATGTATGAGAAAGGGATTCAGTATGAATACACTGTATACGCTTCCCAACAATGCCGTGAGAGCTATAGGTATATCCTGGCAAAATTCCAATAATTTAGGCGAAATAACTAAACTCAAGATCGATGAGTTAAGGGTCATAATTTTCAATGCCAAAATTGAATTTTTCATGCTACCCTTGTAAATCAATGTAGAATTAGATAATTCTTCTTTTTTTATCGGGTTTGATTTGAGGCTAGAAAATAGTAGCAGACGATTAGGAGAGTGTTGTTTATATAATATGTTTAGGCGGCTATAACTGTTGCATGAAGTAATTCGTTTAAGCAAAAATAAGCTCTAGAAATAAAAAAATTTTATTTGTTAAAAACGAAAAAGAAATAATGAAAAACATAATTATTTCGACATCTCTGGTTGACAGAGCTATTTTGGTTTGTCATGGGTAGAAAAGGTCAACGTTCACTTTTTTAAGACAGGACGCGTCCCAAAAAAAACTATGCTTGGGGCAAAACGCGTTAGTTAGACTCTCTTCTAACTTTTGTGTCAGAAAATTTTACATCATAAATTATAATTAATGAAACATGTTATCAGGGCCTTAGCCAGGAATTTTCAGCTAGGGGGGCCATATGCTCACTTGAGGGGGCCACTATTTTTTTAAAATCAAACAAATAAATATGCATTCATAGAAATTTTTTCCTATTTTTATTAAAAATTTAATAACATAATACTATAATATGAATATACAAAACAAAATAATACTATAATATGCATATACAAAACAAAATATTACTATAATAGAATACGGCGATTTTTATTTTTAAATTTTAATATAAATGAACTAAAGGATAAATTCTGCGTTATTTTTTTTCATACGCCATTAATACTAAATTTTGTTTACGTTTATCCTTCATAGACTCTCTACTGCTCGATAAAACTCTCTTTAATGTAGAGAACGAGGCCTCACAAAAAGCCGTTGATATCCCAATGATTATCGCTGCTGAGTAGCATTTATATAATTCTTTACATGATTATATTTTTTTATACAAAATATGTAAGATATTTTCAAAATTATGATTATCTATAGCTTCCGAAGCTAGCAATCCTTTTGCTATCTTCATTTCATGATGTAACGTTTCCATATTTAAGTTTAATAATGATTTTAATGGGGCCATTTTATCTGATAAAAAATAATCAGGGTCAAAGGGGGACAATGTATTAAAATATGAAAGAAGATTATAATCATCTTGTGTAAATCTGTCTAAAAACCGATCAACACAATTATCAATAATTTCATAATAAATCCTTTTAAACGAACTCCAATTGGAGTCTTTTTAACAATTAAATTGTAATTTGCTATAAAAAATCTTGAAAATTTATAGGCGTTTTAAGTACCCTTAATGATTTTTGGGGAGTGAGATTAAATTTTGCTAAAAGTTTTTCAGCCTTAATTATAATCAAATCAACAGAATTATCACTTCTTTTATTTTTTATATTGATCGTAGAATCAATACAATTTTTAGCATCCACTAAATTAGTACCTACTGATTGTAGATACTTATTTAGTGGATCTATTGTTATTAATATCTCATAAATTATAATGGCTAATACAAAGTAATTTATATTAATGCATTGAGATAAAAGACTATCTAGTCTTTTATGAGTGGAAACCTCTGAATTAAGAGTAAAGTAAAATATTATCACCAATAGCCTCAAAATTCTCATAAATGATGCGAGATGTTTCCAAATGACCAGTCCACCTCTGGTCTAAAAGTCTCTTAAGATTATGGCCTATATATTTACAAGATACGTTAAAACGCCTAAAAAAATTATACAATGCATTGGATAAATTAAAAAAATTAGAAATAATAACATTATTTTACCAATTTTGAACCACAAGATGCAACTTGTGGTTGTAACAATGTATAAAAGGAACTTTTTTAGTAATTTTTTTTGGATTTGCACTCCTCCATTTCGGCCAGACATAACGTTTGCACCATCATATGCCTGGCTTATTATATTCTTTGAATTAATATTTAAGTCACTAAGTTGCTTTAAAATGCAATCATGATGCTTTCAGCAGAAAGACACTCTAAATTAATAATTCCTATTAAATTTTCTTGGACTTCTCCAGAAAAAATGTAACGAATAATTATGCTCAGGTTTTCACAACCTGATGCATCTTTTGTTTCATAAGCCCTAAGGCAAAAAAAAGGCATCTCGCTTTTGTTATATTTAACAGAAATATATTCAAGCACCATATCTGCCATGATAGATATTACTTCATTTTGTATCTGAGGTAATGTATATTGGGCATTTTTGGGAATAAATTTCATAATCTTATTTAATTCTGGATCTATTTGAATCATGTATGAAAACATTGCTATAAATAATCCATAAGAATAAATTATTTTTTCATCATTTGCAGCAACTATAATTTGTGTCGAACCAGTGCCATGAAAAGGTATCTCCTGTATGCTAAGAAATAAAAAATAATATAAAGGTATTGCCCAACCCTATAGATATTAGTTTTTGCTCATATATCATATGAGTCATGGTCAAATAATTCTTTAATAGAAATTTTCTGATGTAATAATACTACTAGTTTGTAGAGGTTGTGATGTTGCTTGACATTTGTTTAACTTAAAATAAGAATTAATGACTGATTAATGTTTCTTCATAATTTTAAAATAACCGCTGTAAAATGAAATAACTCATTATATATTATAATAATAATAATAATGTGATACCTATATGTTATACACAAGCACACATGAAAATAAATGGATGAATGATGATTTAATATTGGGTAAAATAAAAATAAAACAGGATAGAAAGAAATTTACAAACTAGACATGTTTTTTGAATAAATATTCAAAATTTATCTTAAAAATATAAAAATAATCAATTCTAAAAATTTTTTCAAATTTGGGGGGCCAGGTGGGGCCAAAAATTTTTTTGAAGGAGCTCCCCCCCCCCCCGGGCCCCCCTAGGCTACGGCCCTGCATGTTATATATATAAATACATTTGTGGATAGGGTATTTTTAGTCTAAGATTATGAGAGCTTGAAGGTGATTCAAGAATGTTTGAATAAACCACAATTTTATAATTATTTTCAGGCTTGTGAACCTGAATTTCGAGTTCAGAATTTTAAAAATTGTTTAGTTTAAATATTTTGATAACACAGATCAAACAGGGACCGTTGGAGAACCCAGAGTATTTTTGGACCAGTGCTTGGGCCCCTTTTAGATAATAAGTTTGTTATTAAAATTTCTGTTAACAAGCCTGACTATTTCAAGATTGGGTTGTAAAATATCAATTTATTAAAAATGGGTAATCTATGCATTCTTCTATTTCTAATCATTATCATAAATTTCTTCTTCCATTTATAAAATGTGCAAAGGATTATAAAAGATGCTTATTTTCGAAAAGCATAATTTTTTTTAAATAAAATTCTGGCTAAGTTATATGTTATAATTTTTTTTTATTAATCTTTTTTGAAAGACACGTCCCACCCATGATGAAAGTTGACCTTCTCTAGTGATAAGAATATCCTATCTAAGTGAAATGCTACATATGATTCAAAAACGATTTCATAGATTTTAAAGAATGCTCATAAAAGTATATTTGATATTTAGGCGTGATCCATTTTTTTCCTATATTAAAATAGATTAAATTACAATTTGTTTTTTTATAATTTTTAATTAACTCATTTGCTAATATGAGTTAATTTTTTTATAATTTTTAATTAACTGATTTGCTAATATAAGGTGTCAAGGCAATATATAAAAATTACAGCTCATGAAAGGTAGAAAAAAAATGCAACAAATAAAAACTGGAAGAAATAATGGTAAATAGCAAAACAGAAAAGAATTGGATAAATTTATGTTTTTTTCCTTTATAAAAAATTATTACAGTCTGAGTCGGGCAACTTCTACAAAGTTATTTTACAGGTGGGCTGGGAAAAAATTTATGAGCAAAGCTGACCTGATATATATTGATGTAGCCTTCATTATATTTTTTTTATAAGGATTGTATATAACAAAAACAAGATTTATTTTTTTCTTTAAGACCCAAAATATCATGATATATGCCCATTCCAGAACATGGCCCATAAATTATTTCAAAAAATTTTTAAATTAGGATAGGATAAAAAAAATTTTTTTACAAAACCTGGGCCAATTTAAAAAAATTAAATCTAAAATTACATCAATGGAAAATTTTATAATGAATTATTTAATAGCTAATCTTTAATTTTAACAATTTAGAAAATTATTAAAAATATTCTAAAAATCTGCACCAGGTCTTAAAATAATAAACACATTGAGTTCTTGGTTTGCCTCAAAAATGAATAATCCTGGTTGACTAGGTTATAATAATTTACAAAAAAGTCTGGACTAGATTTGAAAATAGATATTTTTATCCAACTTGGCTGGCATAAAAATTGAGTTCCTGGCACATGATAGTTTACATATATAAAGAATTGAACAATTGGTCCACTTTTGGTGAAAATATATTAAATGCTATCTAATTATTTTCGAAAACTTTAATACAAAATCAGTTAGAAGATTCAAAATTATAGCAAATGCTGACATTAATATTTAAAATAATAAATTTATTCTAACTG